TGAGGAGTGGGCTGGCACCAGGAAGCAGTGGATCTCCGTGAGTGTCTCCGTCCCCTCCCTGCAGCCTGGCTCCCTGGGCCTGGCTCAGACACCCTAAAGTGGCACTTAACTGTCACATCCTATGGTCCTGGGAAACAGGATGGCTTTGGGCTTTGCTGCCATCTTTCTTGGGGACCCTTAGGAGGCGAGGTGCAGGTATGAAGAAAAGAGCCTTCTTTGACATAGCTGAGACCTAGCTCTGCATGGGCCACCCGCTGTGGCGCTGGGCCAGCCGCTGCGCCTTGAACCTTCAGTTGGACACAGGGTGCGATACGCGCCACGTCCACCCCGAAGGCATGTGCGTGAGCTTCCGATGAGCCAGGAGAGGGGGCGAGACAGGCAGACCTCGCCGTCACCTTCCCTGCTGATATCCTGCGTTCAGTCCAGGGCTTGGCTCTTTTGGTTAAAATTTAACAAGCCTCAGAAACTCCAAAAAATTAACCTTTCTGAATGAATGCAAGCTCGACTAAGATTATTGAGAATGAAAAAATTACCTGTAACCTCACATCCTAAAATAGCAACTGTTGTTCTATACATTTTCTTTTATTCTTTTTAAGAGAGCGTTTACATTGTTGCTGTCGGAGCATCCACACCGTGTTGTAGCCAGCTCTTGTTTTTACTTACTGTGATGACGTAAGCATCATTTTCCATATATGTGACCTAACACATTTAACACACCCCCTGCTGTTGGGCCGTTCAGATGAATCCCATTATTGGACTGTTATCCACCGTGTTGAAATGAACATCTTTGTGCATAGAACTCTTCCCTTTTCCCAGATCGTTTCCTCAGGAGCTGTCCCAGATGTGGGCTGCCTGAGTCACACACGAGTCCTCTGCGGCTGCTGCCAGGAACTGCCCCAAAGGGTGGCAGCGGCTGACGCCCTCAGCTGAAATGACAGGCCCAGCTGTGCCGCGAGCATTTGCTTCACCGCACACCAAACAGCATCCAGCAGCCTCCGTGTAAAAACAAGTTTGGCTACTCTAATGAGCCGATAATAGCTCAGTGTGTTAAGTCGCATTAATGGGTGACTGGAAACTTTTAACGGGAAATATATTTCTCGTCTTTTTGATTATTTTTTAAATGATAAAGAAATGTAGTCTTTAGTTCAAAAATAGTCTGTGTGAAGTAAAAAGCACAAGTTTCGCCTCACTCCTTGCCCTCAGCCCTGGTCTCAGCCCTTCCTCAGAGGTACTAGGAGGCACGTCCCTTGGGGGGCTTTTTATGAGCTTAGTTCCTTCAGCAAGTGTCTGTTGAGACCACCTAGGCGCTGGGCACCGGGGATGATAGGGACAGTTAGTCCGGACACGGTGGCTCCCGCCTGTAGTCCCAGCACTTTGCGAGGCTGCGGCAGGAGGGTCGCTTGAGCCCAGGAGCTTGAGGTTGCTGTGAGCTATGATGACTCCACTGCACTCTAGAGGGAGACCCACTCTAGAATGATGACCCACTGTGACAGAGGGAGACCCTGCCTCAAAAAAAAAAA